TGAAACCTGATTACTGACAGGCAAGATCTGAGGCGAAGTCCTCCACTTGGCATGTGCACATCATTCTCACTCAAGCCAGTTGAAGTGGTGCTTTTAAACGATGGAGAGGAATCAAAAGGCCTTGAGAAATAGATGAGGTTGTGTATTTTCTTTTTCCTCTTAATTAGAGATACTTAAGCATAAATTAAATTTGGAGAGAACATAATATGTTCTGACAATGCTCTTGACTTGTCTTTATGAAGTCAGACGCATTAAAAGAAAAATAAAAGTCAAGCTTTTAAAGACAGCAAATGCCAGAGACACCACATGTATGCAGCTGCTCCAGTACAGACATCTGTCAAGCAGACATCACCCAATAAACCCACATAAACAGTTTCATTCTCTTTTATAGTTGAGGAATGGGATTACATGAGGGCAGTTCAAATAAATCACGGGGGGAAATAAAATCACATACTTGTAGCATTCAGCGGGCCAGATGCTCAGCTACGGCCAACTTGTGGAAAGCACAAGTTGGATGCGGTGCAAAGGTAGCCTGGAGTTCAGTCTGGTAGGGCCAGCAGGAGAAAAGGGAGAGTTAGGGATTGAATGTAAAACCATCGTTGGAGTAGGGATTTCATCCTGAGGCTCTGACTTTGATCTGAATTGACACTGGCTTGGTAAAGCCTCACACTGCCTTTTCGCAGGAGTTTAACTCAGACCACTAGATCAGTGCAAGAGGCTTCTGTTCCTTGCAGCCCATGGCCACATGGTTAGCACCTTCCTTCTCCTTTTTCTACTCTCTCCTTTCTTTTGGGAGTGTGGTCCTAAACGATTTACATTGTTGGCTTCCCCATGTGCATGCCTCCTTCTGACCAGGCTGCTGCTCTTTCACTTGCCCTGTGGTGACCATGCTGCTGAAGTGGCAGTTGGATGACTTGTGTCCTCTGTGAGCGATTCAATAGCAGTGCATACCCTGGTTTTGATACTGGCCTGCATGACAATTCCAGCTCAGGAGCAAAATTCCTTGAAGATCTGTTCAGTATTTGCCAGGATGCAGCATTCATAAGTAACTAGCAAGTGATCAGCTGTGGAGGCATGCTGAGTCTGTGTCTTGTTCTCTAGGTAAGCTGGCAGTGGGAAGCAGCTCCTGTGTCAAAACTATGCTCTCAGTTGATTAACTTGTCACCCAGCTGATTCTCCCTGACCAGCTCATTTGGCTTTGGAAGAATACAAAGGTTTTTCACAACACCTTTTGCCTTCCCCCCCCCCTTCTTCAGTAAAAGACAAATTGTCATTTTCAGAAAAGAAATAGCATGAGCTATTTCATGACATCATTTTTTGAAATATAACAAGCATTATCTTTGGGCAGCAGGTATAATATCACATTACAGGCAGCACTAGTACAGCATTGCTCTCAGAGTATATCTTATGGTAAGGTAATGTGCAGTAAGCGGGCCATGACACAGCCGGTTGCCTTTCTCATTTTGTGTCTTGCAGCATGTAATGAGAAGGAGAGTACAACAGCATGTATGATCAGTGTGGTGCTTCAGTGAGCAAATGCTAAGCGATGTGGTGCCTGTTAGTGCCAGAGGTGGATTTAGCCCAGCTTCTTGGAATTGCTGAGGAAACTCTGACAAACTCAGTCACTTGTGTAATCTGTGACTCAGTATTAATACTACATGCTTTATAATGGGGAATATTGACCACTGTGGGTCTCTAAGTGCACGGGGAGCCAGGTGATGTTCAGTGGGCTCATTCCCATTGTTTGGGTCCCACTTGTAACAGTGATTGTGTCCCATCTCCTTCGGGCTAGTTACTGCAGCATGCTTCACTGTGGTTTGGGGAGCGCTTAAGACTTGGGCTGCAGTGAAACCCCACTCGGTGGGCAGCAGTACTTCATGGGTAATGGAGCAGCAGAGCTTTTGACCTCATTCAGTGTAGTTACCAGGAGTTTGCCATGACCTATAAAACTTCAGAGTTCAAGTCATGGCTTTGTTCAGACCGTTCTACTTGTGCTTGACCTGTTCTAAGATTAGATACAACTTTTGGACAAGGGCTGCTGGATAAAAATGTGAGAAAGCTTGTGAGAAGTGGTCCCAGATTGGGCAGTGAGCTTTGAAATACAGTCATGCAGAGTTTTGTCCTCTAGGAAAGCAGTGAGGGTTATTCTGCGTGGCTGTGGCTTCTCCAGGAGGAGGCAGGAGCTGGAGGAGTAGAAAGGCCTCTGGTTTTCAGATCTCTGCAGCTAATACGAAGCAGATGGCTTTTCAAGATCTTTTCTTTAGGACTGCACTTACATTGAGTCAGCCTGTAATTAAAAAGGATGTAAGGAGTGTTGGAAGTGATGCTGAGGCTGGCTTATAGAAAAGCCACCAGGTCCCTTAGGTCAGACCTGACACAGGTACTTCTGCTTCCCAGCCCCAGTAAAGTTAGACTGATCCATCCAGACAAGGCTTGATGTGACCCAGGAGGCTCTCCGCATCACTCGGGCTGCTTTACTTGTGTTACCACATGTGAAGTGATTCAGGGTGCTGCCAGAGTTGTTTCTTGCTACCAAACTACTAGCACTCACTCTCTTTTCCTTTCCAGCCTGCAGCAAGGCTGTACAAGTAACTTTTAAAATGCTGTGCTCTATTATTAACCATTAGTAGTGGTAAAACCATTTTGTACTCTATATTTTCATGCTCCATTTTCTTTATCAAGTTCTCTGTCCCTTGTTATTCTTCTTTAATGGTTGGTTTGCTTTCAGGACAGGCTTGACTCTGCAGCCCTGATATATATATATAGCTGCTTCCTGAGCCCTTCAGGCTGTTGGTTTACCTGTCTGTTAAATGAGAGTAATTGACCCATCAGATATTGTAAGGTTCAACCCATTAAAGTGTGTAGATTCTGTATCCATATTTTGGGAATTTTGAATATTATAAGTGTAAGAAGACAAGTTTGCAGCTTCTAAATCAGGCTGTAACCACTGAGCCTTGCAGTGGTATTTACCATGCAGCGGTAGAGAGAAGTTGGCACATTCCCTGCAAGGCTGCACCATCTGAAGCTGGGTCAGCAAGTCCTGATTTTCCTTCCTTCCTTTTGTCTCTCCTAGAAATGGTTTCCCAAAGCAAACGGCTGCTCAGCTCATCCTGAAAGCCATCTCCAGCTACTTCGTGTCAACAATGTCCTCTTCAATCAAGACTGTGTACTTCGTGCTCTTTGACAGCGAGAGTATAGGGATCTACGTGCAGGAAATGGCCAAACTAGATGCCAACTAAGCCTGGAAAGCTGCAGTACCAGCCCTCCCACCCCTTCTTCTACCCCTCATCCTCCCCAAATCCTTAACTCATTGTGGAGCAGAGCACCCCTTATTTTGAATTTTGCTCATCTAGGGGAATAAAGGTGGATTTTTGTTGGTTTTTATTTTGTTTGGGGTTTTTTTTTGTTTGTTTTTACTTTCTAAACTGTTTTCTGTTGGCACTGATAGTTGGCATTACTGCTGTTAATGCACTGTATACCAGGCATCGTCTGACCTTAGTGTAATCTAGGAGATTTTATAGTTTTATTTTAATGAAGTCTGGATTGAGGCAGGAAGCTGGTAGGAGTACGTAGTCTTTTACTTGTGACAGAAACAGGCCAACCCTATTTTGTAACTGTGTTGTGGTGCTTTATCGATACATCGAGTGGCGTTCCTTTCATCTTTTTTTAAAGAACAGATGCTATAAACCTAATTTGTGTTTGTTTATTGTCTTAATGAGAAATCTGGAAGAGAAAAAAACCCAGATACAGAAACCCTGTTGTCCTTAATTATATTTACAATTTTGAGATTGTGTGAATTGATTTAGTAAAATGTTTGAACTGGTGCTGGTGGTGTACTTGGATTAATTTTGACCTTAAGCCTTTGTTTTCTAAGTGGATAGTTAGTTGTGAGAGGGACAGATCAGAACTGGTGGCCTGGAACTGTGTGTGGTGATGCTGAGCCTTTTACTTGGGCTGGCTGAACCCATGGATGCTCAGAGATGCTCTGGTCAGGGCTTTCTCCACTTAGTGCTTTGGATCCTTCTGTTCAGCATCTGACTTCAGGGGTGGTTTAGTTTAGGACGTTGAAGCCTTTTAGCCCAAGCAAGGCCTAGGAATTTTTAACTAGTTCCAGCCATTTAATATTGGCCTGTTTGAAGCCATTCTGCATTTTTTTTCCAAGCATTTATGAGCCCAGTTTGTATTGGTTGCTGTATCATTCACACAGCTGAAATCCATACCAACATAAACCCTTACAGAAGCCACTTAGTTTTGTGAGAAAGAAGAGGTTACATGTCCAAAAGCCATTGCCTGGGAATGCTCACTTAGAGGAGGAAGCTCTTCCTTTGAAGTGTTTAGGCTGCTTTTGAGGTAGGAGGCACACATTTTCCATCTCTGTGGAAAACTTCATTTCTGAAAGAGATTTCACAGCCACTCGGGAATGAGTGGACCAAAGCCAACTGACTGTTCACTCAGCTCAGGAATACCAAAAACTAAAGATGTGTAGTTTAAGGACTTCAGTTTGATTTTGAAGTGTGTTAACTGCAGTGGCATGGGTTCTTGTGAGGAAAACTAAAACGTGCACTTCCCCCAGGTCGCACTAGGTGTCACTAAAAGGATTGGAAAATAAAGCACAACTGAGCAGGTACCTCAGGGAACACCTGGTGTGAGAAGGACCCTGATGTTTTCAGCACAGAAGGGGATTTTTAACACAGAAAGAACATGCACATCAAAATGTGTGTACAGGTTGCAGCTCTCAGTCTCTTTTCACTGTAGAGTTTATAGCTAGTATACAACCCTGTGCAACCAAAAATCACCTAGCAAGGACACTTTACAACATCTTCAACAAGGAAGATGTTTCATTGCTATCCCATGGTGGGCCAGGCCACAGCCCAGCCATTTCCAGGAAGCCTCTCTTCCCATCTTAACTGGTAACTGTGCCCTATGTTTTGCTCCTGTGTACAGTCTCTGTACACAGAGGGTGAGCCAGTCTGGCCCTGCCTCTGCATCAGTATTCACCTGCCTTCCCCACAGCCTGAAGAAGCCTCTTCTGTTCCAGGATCCAGCAGGCTCTGTCAGGAAAGGCAGAGATCCTAGAACACACTCGAACTCAGACACACAGGACAGCCCAAGTAGGTTATGGTGTGTATTCAAGAGCCTGAAAAGTGTTATACCATGTTACATGCATAACAAGGGAAACAAGAGAAGGAATTCCTCCTAACATGCACTGCAGCCAGAACAACATTGCTTTGAGAATCTCTCTTGCATTTTGCTTGTCACAGATAAATGTGCAAGCTCCAGTTGCAAAGGAAATACACTAATTGCACTTTGGGATTGCCACAGTTAAAATGCCTTTACAGCTTGTTTTCTTACTGGTGGTAAGTTCTTTATGGATCTTACCTGAAAACAGTAGTTAAAATATACATTCTTTAAGTGTTTCAATACTTTAAAAGATGAAAAACATCTTATGGCCAACAGCATTTTCAACTTGCAGTTTCAAATCCTGCTCTCACCACTTCCCTGCTTCCAGTCAACTGTACAAAAATTCATTGTAATGCTGTCCTTAGGGTGCACCAAATTGGGTAACTTTAGAAGCTCCCTCTGATTTTACAGCCATCATCCTCCTGAAGCTCCCCTCACCCCGAGCTGTCAGCCTGTGTGAGATGTGTAATTACCCTGCCCTGTTCATGGCCTGGTTGCCAGGCTGGGTGTAGCTGCAATTAGCTCCCAGCAGAAGCCTGGCTGCGCCCTAGAGAGGAAGCAAGCAAAAACCCAAGTTTGGGGGTCATTTCCCCCCCTAAAGAAGAGAGCTAATAACCATGCTGTAGCTCTCCTTGCTCCCCTGAAGTCCTTCCTTTAATCCTGAAAATGGGAGCAATGAACAACATTTGTGTAACCTTTCTTTGCCTGAAACGATTTGGGAAGGGTGGATTATTTGCTAGCAGTAATGCAGATGAGGCTGCTGGCTGGTTAGTGTGCTGATGGACAGGTGAGACTTTCAGCCTCGTGTTACATCCCACTGAAATCAGCCCTCCAGACTTCACAATTCATTTAAGATCCAGTAACAAACCCCACTGCTTTTCCTTCAGCTCCTTGCCGGATGTCACCCCTTTGGATGTTCAGTTTTGTTCTTAATCATCCTAGAAGTTTAAAGCTGATGACAATATGTACCATATTGTACAACCAGCTGCTGGTTGCTGCCTGCTCACCTGAAAGCATGGGGAAATGGGGACCCCATGCCACAAACAGGGATGGAACTGGGAAAAGTCTTAACCATACTTCCATAGTTTGGGGTTGGTCTTTGTTTTGCCACCTACTTGCGCTGATGTGCCAAGCTTTGCCATGGGCTGATGTAACCCTGAATTTACCAAAATTCTGAGTCTGAACATCTGGTGGCAGTGATGGGGTTCATGATGCTCCATTTTGTTGGTGATTTCCAGGTGAGCTCAATTCCCATGCACACTTTCAACAAAATACCTGCAGCTCTAAACAGCATTTATAACCTCAAACGTAGCTACAAGGCACACAGGACATTTCTTTCCAAAGGAATTGCAGTTGCTCCTGCACCAAATTTCCCCAGGTATTGATCACTCTTCCTGCAGACTAATTAGTGCTCTGATCATCTACTGCATGATCTCCCTGCTGCAGGCTGCGAGGCCATCACACAGGCTGCCTCAACTACCACACTGCAGAAATACATCACACAGCACAGCAGTGATGGGACAGCATCACAACATCTGTTCTCCAGAGATTCATCATGAACAAATGCTTCCGTGTACAAGATTTCATGATAATTAAAGTGTCATTCAAGGGCTTATTAGGAGCAGCATCAACTTAATAAGCATAATATGAATATGGGTATTAAGAGCTAGAGGTAAGAGGGCCTGTAACACTTCAGCCTCCAAATGTACTAAGGAAGAGTCAGTAAAACAGCTGTGTTTTTGTACAAGTGTGAGAAAGAGAATCAGACTCATTAGGTGTAAGCAAAACACTCTTAGAAATGCTTTTTACATTAAAAAGGGGAATTGGGAACCTTTCTATTTGTAAATGCTCCAAAAAATGCACTGAATAACCCAACAGATTAAGAAATCAAAGTATCCCAAAAGGCAGAAGCATCAGTACCATACCAGCCTGAAACAGCATTAAACCAAACAGAAGTCTGCAGAACAACAAGGCTCTGATTTCCCAGCACTCATTAACACCATGTTCTTGCGAGCTCCTTTCCCCTTGATCCTAGCTAAAATCAGGTTTTCTAGCCTGAAAAAAATTCCCACTGACAGGAGCTGCAGGTGCCCGAGTACTTGAGGATCGGATCAGGTCTGTAGCCGGTGGCAACCAGTCACATACACTGCTCTGCGATGGTTTTACAGAGGACAGTAACGCCTCAAGTTGTAACAGCAGCTCGGAGGGAGCAGCATAATTGATAGGCTTGAAGAGTACAGGTAAATAGAGGATTGTTTCCCTATCCCTGACATGAAACCCAAGGGGAGCCAGGCTATTGCACACTGGCTAAAGCGCTTGAAAATTGCCACCGACTCCTTCTCGTGTCAACTTCTTCAGAGATTTAGTTCATTCCTCCATAGAATCCTACTTAATGCCTCCACAACTCATGTTTAACCATTATCACTAGCAACCTGCTCATAAATGCTTCTTCCCCATCAGACTCCACGAACGGGAATCAAGGGGACAGGATGCCGCTGGTTCCGAACGCGGAGGAAGGAGCAGCAACGGTTCCCAGCGTAGCCTATGAAATCCCAACTCTTCCACCAGCCTGGGTAACAGCAGAAATGTGATATTCTTGTACCTTGAAACGACGAGAGCCTTCTTGGGCTTAGGAGAATAAATTAAAGTTGAGCCAAAGTATGCCTCAGCTGCAGCGATGGGCAGATTGATTTGCTTTCCATCTGGGAGATTAAATTCCACTGCCAAAAAAAAAATGGCACCAGCATAATTAACTGTCAGTCAAGTTGCAAGGAGACAGACTATGTGGGATAATTGAAAGCCCTGCAGCTTCTCATTACATACTACAGTAGCCCTATTTGCAAGTTTCCACCTTGAGGAGGTTCTCCGAACGCGGCCAGGAGCGTACGAATTCCTCCTGGCGCATTCCTCTGAAGTGAAACAGGAGTCTTGTGCAGGGATGGATTAATTCTAAGTAACTTTCACTTAACCGAAGTTGCTTATAATATATTTGTCAACAGCCCCTGACAGCTCCACTAGGCTTTAATTGCCAGCAAATCCAAACAGCTGGAAGGAAACGGTAGGTCTTCAACTCCAGTTATACCCGGGAGACACCTTTACAGACATAAAATCACCTCCCTCTTCTTCTTCCTTCTCTCTCCAGGCACTGTCCCTCCCTTGTGAGCTCTCTTATTCAGCAAATTGCAATTCATAATGAAGCTATCAGTGTGCAGTATTAAACATGTATGTTTCATGAAATAAGCTGCTCCGTTTCCTTCCCCATTTCACAGGCCTGAGCCAGCTTCAGTGATTGCCAAGCATACAGGAAAGTTTAGGAGAAACAAGCGGCTCTGACGATTGGCCTAAGCCTGGCAATGGGGCAAAAGGCAAAATACGTTACAGCTTTCACCCTGAAACCATAGAGAACATCATAGACTGGTTTGGGTTGAAGGGACCTTAAAGCTCATCCAGTTCCAACCCCTGCCACAGGCAGGGATGACTTCCACTAGAGCAGGTTGATCTAAGCCCCATCCAACCTGGCCTTGGGGCAGCCACAGCATCTCTGGGCACCCTGTGCCAGTGCCTCAGCACCCTCACAGGGAGGATGCTCTTCCTCATAAACCAGTAAAACCAGACTTGTCTCCCAAGTCACTTTCTCACCAACAAACCAGGCAGAATCAGGTCCGTCCACTCACCAGTTCCTTAGTTTTTGAGCAGAAATCAATTACTGACAGCCTCAGCCATCCTCTGCTCCGCCGGGGAGGATGCAACTGGACCACTCGCCCTCCAGCTGTGTTATGTGAGCGCATCTGCACTGATGCGCTTTCTACTGGTGACCCGAAGTGGGAAGGGATGGGGGAGACTGCGCTTGGCCTGCGCTGACAGCTTCCTCCTCCAAGGCAGGGAAGTTACCGCTTCCCACAGAAGAGGGAGCCAGTGTCACACCTCCCACATGGCTCCGAGCCCTCCGAGCTAATAAAGCCCAGCCTGATGCACTAATAACGCTTCTTAAACCGGAGCTTTCATTATCAAGAGTAATTTATGTTCACCTTTAAGAGCACCACAACCCTGAGCCCTCTTCCAGGCACAGATTTGCCTCTTGCCTCCCTGCAGCACTTCCTGAAAGCTGGGAGTGTTTCCAGACCCGACAGGGCTCACTGGTGTGAACTGGGAAGCCAAACTGGGAACAGAACAAGTGGTTCATAAGATGACTAAAGCCGGAGTAACCAGCTCCTTGCTGTGATGTGGTAGGAGACGGGCTTGGCACGAAAGAGGCAGCAGCAAACAGTGTGAAACTCTTGCTGGTTATTCAGGCCCCATCAGAAACACAAACAGGCCAACCTACTCTATCTAAAGCCAGGATTTAGTGCACAGCCAGGTCTCACACTGGCTTATCCTCATGTATGTCAGGAATGGGAAAATTGCCCCTCTTGTCCGTGCACAATGCCCCTTTCTGATTTATTAGACAGTCCCCCTTTTTTGCCTCAATCACTCACTTCAAAAGGGGGGTGGAAATGGGACATTCCTCACCCTAATACTAAATGCATGTAGTCAATAAAAGAGAAAAAACACTGAAAAACGTTTAAAGGGAGGATGCTTAAGTTATTGCAGCCCTTGGGAGCATTAATGTATGTGCCAACAAGTTCCTGTATGTGGCTTTAACATGCTTATTTATTCTGCCCTGCCATAAAACCCTGTCTTAAATAGTGCCAAGACCTGTTTGCCATGGCAACCCCTCATCCCACATGTGTTCCAGTAGTACTTACAAGCACCTTCTTAAAGAGAAATACGCAGCAGGATGGATGGCTTGTGACCTGCGGGGCATTTCACAGACTTTTAAGCACCCAAGCAAATATTACCTTGGACTGAAACATTTCTTCCAGGTATTTTTCCCCTTCTGGAGCAGCTCTTTAAGCAATGAAGCAAAGCTTGTTCCTTGCTTTCTGCTCCCCAAGTGGGGCTGTAATGACTTGGACAAAGCACAGAGCCTGGTTTTTACCTGGCAGGTCTCAGGTGGTGCCTGTTGGCTGGGAAGCATGGCAGGAATCAGCTGGGCTCCCATGGTTTCAAGTGCACTGCAGCTGTTCCTGGTATCATTCATCATCCTTTGTACTGACACAGGAAAAGAGATGCTTCCCCTTCTCCCCTTCCCACCGTCCAACCACTGGCCTTTAAATCCAAGTGGATACGTGTCCATAATAAAGCCACATAATGCTAATGCTGTACTTAACATTATACTTTCATAACTTAGTGTTATACTTAACATGTTCTTCAAGAGCCCAGCTCAAGAAAGGGTTTCATTCTGCCTTCTTTTTCTACTGCTCAATTCACTGTTGTGCCTTAAACCTGGGGAGATACATCCATGGATCCCCGCAGCAAGCTGTATTAAGATACATCCATGGATCCCCGCAGCAAGCTGTATTAAGATACATCCATGGATCCCAGCAGTAAGCTGTATTAAGTGGAATAGATGTGGGTTAGCCTGCTGACATCCTTCAGTGTCAGGGCTCTGCATTGTGGGAATCCCTGGAGGGAGCCAGGTTCCTTGGACTGGTCCCCTCTTGTCTGTCTGACCACATCTCGGCTGGACACAGCACTAAATGCAGGACCAGTTCCTCAGCCTCTCCAGGTACAAACTCCCAGTGGCTCAACAAGCAAAGCCTGATTGATGGTGGCCATTTCTTTGCATTACCCTTGCTTGTGCCAATGCATCTGGTGTGCACAAGTGGCACCAGTGGAAGGAGCAGCCGGGCAGGTTCTGGGGGGACTGGGGTTGCCTCCAGGAAGCTTTAACCACCAGGAATCACCCATCCGTCCTTCCCTCCTGCCTGCGTTCTCCCTTCTTTCCCTTTGTAGTGTTCACACTCCTTCCCTTCCCTTTTCATTGCAAGGAACACCCTATTTCCCAAACCTATCACAGCTCTGCACACAACAATGCTGCACCTTTACTCACTGGGTTTGGAGAGGGCAGGGCTGGGTCAGCACAGCCCGAAAAGCCCTTTTAGTCCCCAAGGAGCATTCCCAGGAGAACCCCACCACCACTGGAGGCACTGCCTAGGTGCGAGTCCATGCTTGGAACATCCCTGAGGACATGGCCGTGGACTCTACTAAGATTGCCAAGGGGAAGTTAGAGGTATTTTAGTCCTCTGGCATCATGTAGAATCATAGAGTCATGTAGGTTGGAAAAGACCTTTAAGATCAAGTCCAGCCATTAACCTAACACTGCCAAATCCACCACTAACCATCATTCATTTCTCCACAAGGAGGCTCAGTTTGATCCTTACCAAAACCAATCTCTGAACATCATCAATCTCTCCTGGCCCATGCACTTTGCCTAGAGCCAACATACCCCCCCTCACTACATCACCCACGTAAATCCCTGTCCCAGGCCCTGCCGTGGGCTGCACTGGGAAGAAGGATGCTGCTGACAAGGCACAGGGAACATGACCAGAGGTGATTGTAGAACCATTCCTTCTTGTAGCCAGGTCCAGGGAGAAGATCTCTGCAGCACCTTAGAAAGCAACCCTAGAAAGCACCAAAACTGTTGTTTTAAAAGTAAATAGATGTATATGAAGAAAGAAAAATCAATGGATTCTTAATGCTCCATTATTAACGGTGCTCAGAAAGGGATTTTCTGCTTTGCTGGAGCATGGAACAGGCTTAAATAAGAATCCCCATCAGAATACAGCTTCATAATTATGCAGATAACATTTTGTTCTTGTAATGACATCAGAAGTGCCCACAAACTGCATTGCTTACTCATGTCTATGAGGTATGTCTCAACCTGCACTTCAGTAAAGACCACAAGCATGTCACCTTGACAAGCTACCAACCATTTAAGACTCCAGGCATTTAGCAGTGTCATCCTGTTGTTTTTAGGGAGGCTTTCAGCTACTGGCTCCTGGCAGCATTCCTGCAGCAGTTGTGCCAGGGATGGAGGCTGATTTCCTAACAGCTCTGTGCTATCAGTTAACCACTTCAGCACCAGCTCAGGTGCTTCCTATTGATGCTCAGTGAAGCCTGTAGAATGCACTGTGCTGGGGGCTGCGTTCAAACACTTCAGTTTTGCTCTTGATCCCCCCCCCCAAAATCAATACCACCCCTAGAAAGACATGGAGAGGAATGAGCCTGCTTGTTCTCCTTCATTTCCCAGTGCTGATCATGTTTGGGATCTCAACAACCAGCACAGAACGCAAACGCAGCACTCGCACGGCTGCAGTAAGCGACAGGACAACAAGTGTGCAGAACTAAGGCACACTAAGGCAGCTCTGTGCAGTAAGCGATTCCTTCTGGGAAGCTGTGACCTGCTTCTGTGCTATTGCAGCAAATGTGTGTTTTACTGCTCTGGCAGTGGGATCGATCCCTTCCCCGGGAAGCGCTGTAAACAGATCCATTCCTCACTGCAGAGCTGACTGCCGATAACTCCGTGGGAGTTCAAGTTGGTGCTGAAACCTCCTATTAGGAACGCTTCTGTCGCGTCTTGCAGCTTCCCAAATCCCAACTGGAAAGCATCTTGATTTTCTACCGGTGTCATCAGTTTAGGAGAACTTATAAAGTGGAGTTTATTGAGCTGCAATTGGGCTGTGCATTTGTAAAACGCAGAAAATATGTTAATGTCTTACTCCTCCTAAAAGCAGGCATCGAAAACACACTGATCCACTTGTGCATGTGTTTACAATTAGGTCTGTGCATTACTGTGTCCAAAGAGCTGTTGGAAACACTTCCAAGCTCGTGTGTGCAT